TCCCTTACTTACTGGCACTGGAGCCCTGGTGCTGAAGCAGCTGCCTGCCCTGCATGGGCAGGCCGCATGTTTCAGCACCAGGGTGCGGGGCCAACCATAGAGATGCTCTGGCAGCCAGAGCATCTCTGTGGAGGACCCAGCCTCTGCTTGCTTCAGGGCATGGTCCCAGACAGTCCTGCCCCACTTTTTTTAACTTAATTTTTTTTAGACCCCTGGGTATCTGGGGATCTAATTTTCTCCCCAAGCTGCAAGTTTGCAGTGCAGGGAACATTTTTTCATTCCCACATGTACCTCTTGCCTTGTCTCAAAGGGGTTTGAGACAAGGCAAGAGGCAGTGTGCACTTGTCTGAACACGCCCATACAGTGCAGCCAGATCCAGCAAATGTACTGGTTACAAGGAAAAGCAGGTTAGGTTTGATTCTACATGAGTGAAGTTTAACATCAGTTTTCTTTTTATGCACATTTGCTAGCCTAATTTTTATGTACATTAATATTCCCAACCTATTGGCTCTAAGAGATGAGAGGAAAGGATAGTCTTGTGATTAGAGCTCAACCTGGAACTCAGCTACAGATTCAGTATTGCAAAATGACACTGGGTAGATCAGCTTTCTGTGCCTATAGCATAGAGCCACTGTATCCTGGCCAGGACATTCCAGAGCATGCCCATCCAACCACTCCACCTAGCACACTGCAAAACCAGAAATATACCAGTGCTGAAAGCTATCCCCAAGAACCACAGTATTTAAGGAGCTGCACTCAGGTATGTTGATGACCAAGTTTCAAACAGAGTGTCACAACAGGGAGTTCTGGAAGTCCTTCACTTTTCTGAGTTTGAAATGTACAAACAGAACCAGTGGGAATGATATACTTGGAAACATCCCAACCACCATGGTGTAGATCTGCCCAAAGTATCCATAGTTCCAAAATGCACAGAACTGTGGTAACTTCCTTTCCTGCTAGTGAGGATTCAGCATTTCCAGTTCTCTCCCAACTCTTCCCTGCAGTCAAAAAGTCTTGTCAACTGTCACTCCCTGTTATCTTGCCAACTCCAGAAAGGTAAACGATCCTCAGCAACCCAAAAGTCTGCCTAATTTGGTGCCTGAGGCATGAGCAGCCTACCTGAGGTGAAAAAGCACCCCAAGTGACATAGCACGGTAGATGACCACAGGCCCTTGACAGAAAATGTAGCTCCTTAGCTGGTCTCTGCACAAGAGAAGGAAGTTGCATAGCCAATCCAGAAGCCACTGGTTCTACATTAGGTCAAAGACCCACTGAGGAGGAATTAGAAGGGTCTTCCACACTTGTGAATAAGGAGTATTTCAGGAGCGTGTTACATAAGTATTTGTGTACTTATCATTAGGCAGCATATTTGGGACAATTCTCCCCATTTCTTCCTCTCCTGTTTTTGGTAACTGTAGCAGTGTGAATGCTAAGGCCTTCCCATTGCTGAAGTATTATAGGCCTGTTATTCTTACCTTGGTCCTGGGAAAGCTCTTTGAGAAAATTATCCAGGTACACATCTGAGAGAGGCAAGCAGGGGAGTGTATGCTTAGGGTCAACCAAAATGGGCTCATTAGAGGCAGGTCCTGTCAGACCAACCTAGTGGGCTTCTATGATTAGATCACAAAATCCTTGGATGCAGGTGTCGCGGTAGACATAGTCTTTCTGGACTTTAGGAAAGCCTTTGACACTGTCTCTCACCCCATTCTCATTAAAAAATTAGGAGATTGCGGTGTCAATGCCTACACAGTCAGATGGGACGCCAATTGGCTGGAGGGCCACACCCAGAGAGTGGTGGTGGATGGGTCATTTTTGACCTGGAGTGATGTGGGCAGTGGGGTCCCCCAGGGCTGTGTCCTTGGGCCTGCAATGTTCAACATAGATTTCATAGACATTAGGGCTGGAAGGGACCTCAGAAGATCATCGATTCCAGCCCCCTGCCCAAAGGGCAGGAAGTCAGCTGGGCTCACAGGATCCCAGCAAGATAAGCATCCAATTTGCTCTTGAAGGTGTTCACTGTAGGTGCCTGAACCACCTCCGATGGCAGGCTGTTCCAGACCTTGGGGGCTCAGACAGTAAAGAAATTCTTCCTTATGTCCAGCCTGAAACAGTCTTGTAGTAGTTTATGACCTCGTCATCCCTTGGGGTGCTCTGGTGAACAAACGTTCCTCCAGATACTGGTGAACACCCCTGATAAACTTATACGCGGCCATCAGATCACCCCTGAGCCTGCGGTTTCCAGGCTAAAGAGACCCATAGCTCTCAGCCTGTCATCGTAACATCTGTTTTCCTGATCATGTGTGTGGCTCTTCTCTGGACTCTCTCTTGCTTCTCTGCATCCTTTTTGAATTGCGGAGCCCAAAATTGGAAGCAGTACTCCAGCTGTGGCCTCACCAAGGCCAAGTACAAGGGAAGAATGACGTCCTGGGATTTGCTTGAGA